ACTCTTTAGGTCGAGTGTGGAAAACCATTGGGCTCCGGATAGAGTGTCCAAGGTGTCGTCTATTCTTGGCAGTGGATAGCTATCTTTCTTGGTGACCGAATTTAATAGACGGTAGTCAACGCAAAATCTTGTGGAGCCATCCTTCTTCTTTACAAGCACTATCGGTGATGACCAAGGACTATTCGATGGCTTTCTCATGTCTCTGATAATCTCTTCCGCTTCGTCTCGTTTAGCCAATGGGAGTCGCCTTGGCTGTTGTCTAATCGGTTGGGAATTGCCAGTATTTATTTTATGGGTGACTATGCTTGTCTTGCCCTTGTCCTGGTCGTTTACCGCGAACACATCCCGAAATTCCACAAGCATATTTTTCACCTTTTGTCGTTGTCTATTGTCCAAATCTGGGGTATTTTTAATGACCATATCTATCAGCTCTCTTGGATACTTTCCTTTAGATAGATTTTCCGATCTCACAGAGCGAATAGCCGAGATGGGCACACACTGTCCAACTGCAGTTCGTTTGCTTAGCTTAACAGGACTATCTTTCAAATTCATAATTCGAATCGGAACGTCATTTTGAACTTTTACCAGAGCCCTAGCCACTAGAAATTTCTTTTGGTTTAGTGCTTCGACTATCCGTAGGCTTCCCTGGCGACAGTATCCATCTAAAGTGGTCATTATAATTTTTTCACTAAGTCCGGGTATAATGACGTCATGAGTGGTTAACAGGCGGATGACATCTTCTTTGTCTTCATGGAAAGGGAGTTCTTCATCGCCGACCTTTAACACGCCCTTTTTCACGTCTAACACAGCTCCGAGTTTCTTAAGAAGATCCATCCCCAAGATGAATTGATCAGAAATATCAGCAATTAGCACCTGGTGATTGATGGTGGTCTTTCCGATGGTGACAGACATTTGTATTTCTCCGTGCGTTTTTATTCTTTCACCAGTTGCTGTTTTTAACTGCACGGTCGAAGATGAGATCCGAGAATGATTCTTCAATAACTCTGGTCTTGCAATAGTTCTTGTTGCACCTGTGTCTACTAGCAAGGATCTGTCTTCTCCATTAACTCGGCCATCGATGTACAGGCTCAGAACTTTTCCAGACGACGTAATGTTTACAGTGAAGATCGGGGCTTTGTTTCTGCAGGTCGACGATAGCCCCTTCCTGTCGACCTTTCTTAGTTTTCCGGCTGCTGTAATGGTTTTTGGCAGTTGCGGCGAACGTGTCCAATCTCGCCGCAATTCCAACATCGTGGTTCACGTTTCTTTGCCATTGACTGTATTGCTTTATTGACCTTCTCTTCCACTACTTTACTGACCTTTTCTTCCACTACTTTACTGACCTTTTCTTCAAAACTTTCAGAGCCACCTTCCTCTTCGATGGTTCTTACCCGGCTGTCACTGCGAGGTTCCACCATACGTACTCGCGCACTTCCATGACTAGCTTTCTTGGCGGCTTCGAATTCTAACGCATGGGCCAAAGCTTTCTCAAGTTTGTCGTGCCTAGCCAGTCTCAAAGCCTGCTGGGCATCTCCATCACGAACGGCATCGATAAATGTTTGTACAGCCAGTTGATCAAGAAAGCTCTCCGGTGGCGTAGGGTATGCCAATCGAATCAGTCTAGCGATGTCCGCTTCAAGTTCCTGCAAACTTTCTCCAGGTTTCTGCATTCGGTTTTTGACTTGGGCATAGTAAACTTGCTGAAGGTGTTTATCGCCATATCGCATTTCGAGTCGCGCTACTATTTGTTGGAAGTTCTGTTGATCCTCGGGGATGGTCCTCAACACATCCAGAGCATCTCCTCTCAGAGCAAGAATCAGGGCTGTAGTTTTGTCTTGAAGAGTCCATTTATTTGCCGCAGCCGCTGCCTCAAACTGTCGAACGTACGTGGTCCAAGGAATCTTACCATCAAAAGTAGGTGGCTTTACTCGGGCTTGCTGAACGTCGCCTTCTACTCTTGTATTTGTTTCTGGGTCGACCTTCTTGTAATGAGTAAGCTGTGGCACCTCAAGAAGACGGTCCATCAGTAATTCATCTGGGGCACTACTAGTACGCTCTTCCGTAGTCAGTCGCAAGAATTGCTCGCGCAGCTCTTCATACTTGTGCTCAATCTCGACGAATGTTGCTTTAAATGTTTTGGAAACTTCCGTAATTCTATCTTCAACTTTTTCTTCGATAATCTTTCTAGAATTTTCTTCCAACTTCTCGAACTTCTCTTGAATATTTCTAGAATTTTCTTCATTAATCCTTCTAGAATTTTCCTCCATCTTCTCGAACTTCTCTTGAATATTTCTAGAATTTTCTTCCATTTTCTCGAACTTCTCTTCAAAATTTCTAGAATTTTCTTCCAACTTCTCGAACTTCTCTTGGGTGCTTTTCATTTCTTGCTGCAACACCTGTTGGCCATTTTGGATTTGCTGGAGCAAATTGAGCATCGTTTCTTCCATTTTAGCGGCAGCAGATCTTGTTACAGGCATACACAAGCACAAGCACTTAATTTAATCTTACTTTTAATTAATTTAATTAATTCCACTCCTGACACCAATGTAACGTTATTTATAAGTTCGGGTTCGATTTATATCAATATTTATTAAACAAAACTAAAACACTATAAAAATCCGTACAATTTATATCGATTATTTATATCACACACTTCGAAATTTATATCAGCTTTTCGCGCTCTATGTTTCGTCCGTACTCGATCTCGTTCGATAGTAGACTCCCGCGATGTTCGGTCCGCAACCATTTATACACGCAAGCAATGTAAGTCCAGTACATTCTCGAATACGCGTAGAAAATTCCAGAGCGCCAAAGGCGACGTCATGTCTGCAGCATTTCCGTTACAGTGGATTACCGGTTACATCACATTTGGAAAGACGCCGGTCATACCAATCGTATAATTTCAGAATATGGGCCCCGAAATTTCTTTTGTCACACGGTGCAAAGAAACCTTGCGTTTTGGACATTTGTCGCGGATAATCCAAGTTCAGACGAAATGTCATGTCATGGGATTTTGGGTGAGCTAAATTTCACTTTATGGACAACAAATGTCACTTTAAAAGTTTGGGTACCACAGGTATTCCATCACAGAAGACGACATTTCACAAGCCATCAAAAAGGGACCAGACCAAAACACATCAGAAGCTGTTAAACCTTCTTCGATTAAAAATTTTGGATGGAGGGGGATCTGGAGAGTTTTCCATAAGCCCCCAGACCCCCCGCTCCCCTTCACAATTATGGTTAAGCCTTTAGCACTTTTGTGATCATTCTTCAAGGAGGTCCATCAATTTTTGATTATTTTTTTAAAGGTTTAAAGGTTGGGAGGGGAGGGGAACACGGTAAAAGAGGATTTGGGACCCATAAAATACCTTTCAGGAATTGAACGTTCGATGATAACAAACTTTTTGCAGGCTTAACAATTTCTGAGATGAAGATTCACGGAAATGTTCTAGCCTGGGACGTATTTATCTGGGGACCATTCCAGACCCTCCAGACTCCCCAGTGTTATGCTCTCCTCCAAAATTGTTAAACTTTCAGTTCATTTTTCAAGGACAGCCTTCAACTTTTTATTATTTCTCTAATCGCTTAACAATTTTGGAAAGCAGTTAATAGCACCAAGTACGGCACAGCCACAGGAATACATTCCAGGAAACACGAACCTTAGGAACTCTTAATGACAATTTGGGAGGGAGATTCACAAAATTTTTTTTGCTGGAACGTATTTCCCTGGGGGGAATTGGGCCACATGGAATACCTTTCAGGCAAAGAAAGTTCGATTGCCTTCTTTAATCATGATTCCAATGGTGTAAAACGCTTAACAACTTTGGAGGAGAGTCTGGGGATACCCCCACAAGGATACATTCCAGAAAAGAGGAGCCTTTTTTCCTGGGATGTGTTTACCTGGGGGGTATTCCATACCCCGCAGCCCCCCTGCTGCTATGCTCCCGTATAAAATTGGCAAACTTCGGGAGGTGATTCACAGAACATCTTTTTCCTGGGATCTATTCGCCTGTGGGATATTCCATACCCCCCCCCCCCAGAACCCCCGAACTATTATACTCTCCTCCAACATCGTTAAGCCGTTAGCAGCTTAGTGAGCATTTATCAATTAGAAACATGAATTTTTTATTTTTCTAAATGTTTTGGAAGACAACAAACACAGTAACTAGGAACTAGGGAGAACAAATTTCCCTCAAAGATTCATTTTAGAATCTCGAAAGCGCTCTTCTTTCCCGGAATGTATTTACCTAAAGGGCTTTCCTTATTCTCCAGACCTCCCTCTTCCTAATTTTTAAGACTTCAGGGGGTTTTGTGATCATTTTTCAAGGGGAACCTTACAAACCGGGAAAACTGCAGGAAAACCTAATTCAGAGTAGCCGGCAGAATGCTTAAAACTGATCTAAGGAAATTCCCGTCTCTACCACAGATAAAAAATTCTTACCTCAGCCCAAATTCGAACACCCGGCCTCCGGCCTTTATAGTCCAACGCTCTACCATTGAACTACAAAGTCGGTTAAACAATTACATGGGTGTAGTCGAATTTTGGCATTGGTGTTGGTACATCAGAAGCGTTTTCTGTTAAAGAGGTCTCTTCCTTCAATTTCTTATGCATTAGTTGCGATGTAAATGGAATAGATCCTCATATTACATAGTTCTAACTCTACGCACTTGTAGCCTAATAAAACAAGTGAAACAATTATTAAAATCGTTGCCGAACGTGATTAAAAAACAGATAGCCAAAAGTACAACTGCCATAAAAAACTACACGCGAAAATTTACATTTTTATTATAAAATTGATGCTCGCCCTTTTCTTCTCGAACTCGCTCCTTTTTTTATAAATAAATTTCGCCATTCGCGAGATGTTTATGATCCTGTAATAATTGAGGTAAATAACGTAGTTAACATCAATATTTATGCGCCGTAAACAATTCTCCTGTTCTATTTTCGCTATTATTTTCCTTCGGTATATGTTTTTTTATTAGTCTTTGCGAAGAGAAATTATACCGTTTGAAAAACTAAGTGAGCTGCGCCAATTTATTCGATTAAGCTTTTAGGGAGAAGTTCGTAAAACTATCGAATGTGACTGTGAAGTCTTTATATTTTCGTGTTTGGACACCGAAAAAAATACTTTATCGCTGCAATAATGTGGAAAGTTAAATACTTAAAAAAAGTTGAAGCGTCTAGTTTATTACGAATGCGGCCGCGGGGTGGCGGGGGAGATACTAAATTTTGGGGTGGTTTACGCCTTTTCGACTTGTTTTTAAAGTGACTCTATTTTTGTATTCTTTTTCAGGGTTTACGGTGAACGGAAATCGCTTCTTGGATTTTCGAATTACCGCCGAGCCGAGTCAGTCGATGCAAGAGCTGCGCGTTAGGGCGGCTTCCCTCTGGCTGAAGGCGGACTTGAGGAAGCGGCCGCTCACCAGCTGCCAACAGTTTCTGTGGGCATTTAGGGTTAAGGAAACGCCAAATTTTTCGAATAAGTTACAAATTGAGGAGGTGAGTTTACAGTTTGTTACACTCTGGGCTTCGCCCTCTTTCAATTTTACCTTACCCTTCACCCTTAGTGAACACTGAAAATAAGTTTCAAAGTTGTAACTTGACAGGAAAGATGGACTTGTGTCTAAAACCTAAAACCACCAGCAGATAATTATAGACTGAAGGAATGGAATCTGGCAACCGGCAGCAAGGGAGCGTACCTTCAGAAACTGAATACTGAAGGCCGGAAACTACAGACCGGAAACCGGAAACTGCATACAAGCACATTTTAGTGGGAAAATCGGAAATCAGATTCTGAGAACCGAAAACACTAAGCGAATCGGCAACCAGCAAAAGCAAATTCAACAGTAACTGAAAACCGTAAACCGAAATTCTGAACCAATTAAAACCTTTTACATGAATTTTCTGATTGGCACTTCGTGTATTAGGAGCTGCAACACCTCCTCGCACATTATAACCTCCTCATACCAAATTGGAAAAGATTTAAAACGAAATTTGGCTTCGAAATATTTTTGTGGGTGATGGGAAAAGACCTCCTCATCCATTATGTTCTCCTGGTAGCCAGACAAAATTTTACAAGAATTTTCTGATTGGCACTTCGTGTATTAGGAGCTGAAACACCTCCTCCCACATTATAACCTCCTGATACCAAATTGGAAAAGATTTAAAACGAAATTTGGGTTCGAAATATTTTTGTAGGTTATGGGAAAAGACCTCCTCGACTATTATGTTCTCCTGGTAGCCAGGCAAAATTTTACAAGAATTTTCTGATTAGCACTTCGTGTATTAGGAGCTGATACACATCCTCGCACATTATATCCTCCTGATACCAAATTGGAAAAGATTTAAAACGAAATTTGGCTTCGAAATATTTTTGTGGGTGATGGGAAAAGACCTCCTCGACTATTATGTTCTCCTGGTAGCCAGACAAAATTTTACAAGAATTTTCTGATTGGCACTTCGTGCATTAGGAGCTGAAATAGCTCCTCGCACATTATAACCTCCTGATACGAAATTGGGAAATATTTATAACGAAATTTGGCTTCGAAATATTTTTCTGGGTGATGGGAAATGACCTCCTCGACTATTATGTTCTCCTGGTAGCCAGACAAAATTTTACAAGAATTTTCTGATTGGCACTTCGTGTATTAGGAGCTGAAACACCTCCTCGCACATTATAACCTCCTGATACCAAATTGGAAAAGATTTAAAACGAAATTTGGCTTCAAAATATTTTTGTGGGTTATGGGAAAATACCTCCTCGACTATTATGTTCTCCTGGTAGCCAGACAAAATTTTACAAGAATTTTCTGATTGGCACTTCTTGTATTAGGAGCTGAAACACCCCCTCACACATTATAACCTCCTGATACCAAATTGGATAAGATTTAAAACGAAATTTGGGTTCGAAATATTTTTGTAGGTTATGGGAAAAGACCTCCTCGACTATTATGTACTCCTGGTAGCCAGGCAAAATTTTACAAGAATTTTCTGATTAGCACTTCGTGTATTAGGAGCTGATACACATCCTCGCACATTATATCCTCCTGATACCAAATTGGAAAAGATTTAAAACGAAATTTGGCTTCGAAATATTTTTGTGGGTGATGAAAAAAGACCTCCTCAACCATTATGTTCTCCTGGTAGCCAGACAAAATTTTAGGAGAATTTTCGATTTGCACTTCGTGTATTAGGAGCTGAAACACCTCCTCGCACATTATAACCTCCTGATACCAAATTGGAAAAGATTTAAAACGAAATTTGGCTTCAAAATATTTTTGTGGGTTATGGGAAAATACCTCCTCGACTATTATGTTCTCCTGGTAGCCAGACAAAATTTTACAAGAATTTTCTGATTGGCACTTCTTGTATTAGGAGCTGAAACACCCCCTCACACATTATAACCTCCTGATACCAAATTGGATAAGATTTAAAACGAAATTTGGGTTCGAAATATTTTTGTAGGTTATGGGAAAAGACCTCCTCGACTATTATGTACTCCTGGTAGCCAGGCAAAATTTTACAAGAATTTTCTGATTAGCACTTCGTGTATTAGGAGCTGATACACATCCTCGCACATTATATCCTCCTGATACCAAATAGGAAAAGATTTAGAACGAAATTTGGCTTCGAAATATTTTTGTGGGTGATGGGAAAAGGCCTCCTCAGTCATTATGTTCTCCTGGTAGCCAGACAAAATTTTACAAGAATTTTCTGATTGGCACTTCTTGTATTAGGAGCTGAAACACCTCCTCGCACATTATATCCTCCTGATACCAAATTGGAAAAGAGAAAACTAAATTTAGCTTCGAAATATTTTTGTAGGTAATGGGAAAGGACCTCCTCGACTATTATGTTCTTCTGGTAGCCAGACAAAATTTTACATGAATTTTCTGATTGGCACTTCGTGTATTAGGAGCTGAAACACCTCCTCGCACGTCATAACCTCCTGATACCAAATTGGAAAAATTTAAAACGAAATTTGGCGTCGAAATACTTTTGTGGGTGATGGGAAAAGACCTCTTCGACTATTATGTTCTCCTGATAACCGGACAAAATTTTACAAGAATTTTCTGACTGGCACTTCGTGTATTAGGAGCTGAAACGCCTCCTCGCACATTATATCCTCCTGATACCAAATTGGAAGAGATTTAATACGAAATTTGGCTTCGAAATACTTTTGTGGGAGATGAGAAAAGACATCCTCAGCCATTATGTTCTCCTGGTAGCCAGACAAAATTTTAGAAGAATTTTTCAATTGGCACTTCGTGTATTAGGAGCTGAAACACCTCCTCGCATATTATAACCTCCTGATACCAAATTGGAAAAGATTTAAAACGAAATTTGGCTTCGAAATATTTTTGTGGGTGATGGGAAAAGACCTCCTCGGCCATTATGTTCTCCTGGTAGTCAGACAAAATTTTACATGAATCTTCTGATTGGCACTTCGTGTATTAGGAGCTGAAACACCTCCTCGCATATTATAACCTCCTGATACCAAATTGGAAAAGATTTAAAACGAAATTTGGCTTCGAAATACTTTTGTGGGTGATGTACTAGAGGAATAAAATCTGGTGGAGGATATAGACCGGAAACCCCGACCCAAAACGCAGAAATTGCCAACTAGATACTAGTGGACACTCAAATAAGAAACTGGAAACGGAAAACTGATAGTTGCAAATTGAACCTAATGGTTTAGCACTGGAAATTGGTAACTGGAACCAGCGAACCAGAATTCAGGAACTAGCAACTACACGCCGTGTAGTAAAATGAAAGCTTAGTCCTAGTGGAAAATCAAATAGGAAACCGGAAACGAGAATGTTAATTTTGCTTGCTGAACCTAAAATTTGGCACTAGAGGTTTGTAACCGGAAACAGCGAACCAAAATTCAGAAACCAGCCGTGTAGCAAAAAGAAATCTCAGTCCTAGCGGAAACTGAAACAGGAAACTATAAGCCACTATAAACCGTGTAGTAGAAGGGAAACTAGGAACTAGTGCAAACTCAAATAAGAAACCGGAAACTGAAAGCGCGGGATTACTGAATCGAGAGGTTGGGCACTGGAAGCCTGGAAACTGGAAATTTTAGATCAGGACAGGCGAACCGAAATTGAGAAACTAGCAACTATAAGCCGTGTGGCAAAAAGAAACCTTGGTCCTGGTGTAAAATCAATATGAACCGGAAACTGAAAGCTAAAAGTTTCTAACTGAATCGAACGGTTTGACACTAGAAATTGGTAACCGGGAACAGCGAACCGAAATTTAGAAACTGATAACTATAAGCTGTGATAGCAAAAAGAAGAAGACTTAGTCCTAGTGGAAACTCAAACATTAAACCGGAAACTGAATCTAAATGTTTGATACCGAAAAGTGGTAACCGGGAACACCAAACCGAAGTACAGATACTAGCAACTGTAAGTCAACTGACAAAAAAGCTGGAAACACGAACAGGAAACCGGAAACCAAATCTAACGGTTTTTCAATAATTTCTAGTACAGTGCCCAATCCCTTGTACGAGGATCTCGGTATGAATGTTAGGCTTGTTTCTCAACCTTTATACCATAGCAGATTTCTCTGTGGTCCGGTAGAGAGGGCTCGTCCCAGACCCTCCATCCCACTATTATGCCTGTTAGAGAGGAGAAGGAAAAGTTAATATCCTGGGCTTCTTTCCTGTTCTTGGTTACAAATTCTGATTCATTGCCTTGATTATCTCTGGTTCCTCTGATAAGGAAAACTCTAAAAGTACTCACCTATACGGTTTGTGTCCGTGCTATCCCAGTGCCGGCGATGGTAGTTGGCGTCACACCTGTTCCTGTATAATATTGTGCGCTGGTGGCCGCTTTCGCCCTGTGTAGGTTCACCTGAATAAATTTCGGCCATTATGGACCATGGCTCTATCGTGTGTCCCCCTTGCGTAAATGAGGAGGGACGTCTCCTTTCCTGATCCTGCACTTGAGCAAAAACCTTTCTCTTGGCTTTGGTTGAGCCACGACCAGGGTTTGCTCGTATGATTGGGTCAGTTGAGCTTCTCCCAAATTTCATTGGAGTGCTCCTGGTGGGTTTTGCTTTGAGTGTTCCGCCAGAGGCTCTTTTGGTTTTGAGGATCCAGCGTCTCGGAAGGTTTTCTTTGGAGGTGTAGGTGCACCTTCGCTTTCCTCCGTAGAATGAGGAGTTGAGGGAATGGAATGGTGTCTTTAAGGGCGTTATTTGCACTCCCATCTGAGGACAGAACTATCCCTTTTCCTCCTCTTCTCGCCTTTATTTTGCTGGGTTTTTCTGAGTTAGGGTTGTATCCAGCAGCTATTTTTAGCGCATTTCTTAAGAATTAAATACAAGTACAAATTGTGCACACCCCTTGTGCAGGTATACCGCATTTTTTATAAACACCCCTACGAAATTTCTTCCATAAATAAGCAAGCTGGCACTGCACATGCGCAATACCAAATTTTGAAACTGTTGTTAAATTTTGTTTTATTCCAAGTGGTTATGTATCAAATTTTATTTAAATGCCCAATCGTTATATTTCTTCCAAACGTCCTAATCGTAATCGCCCTTTGTGGGTACTTTCCTTTGACTCTTAAGATATAAGGAATTATAACCGATCAAGACAAGGGATCGAGGAGGAAGACTATGGTTAGTATAAATTAATTCCTTTCGTTGAGACCTTTCATTAGAGTACCATGAAGGATAAAACTAGTTCTACTCCCCCCCCCCTTCCCCTCCACCCCGTACTTTGATAAGAGGACAGAAAAACGGGCAGTAGTTTGCAGAAAAGTGTTCCTTTCGTTGAGACCTTTCATTAGAATACAACGAGGAATACAATGAGAGACAAAATTAATTTTTAACCCCTTCCCCCCCTCAGGCCCCGTCGCTCACTGATCTCAAAAAAGAGTCGCACGGGAAAGTTATAGTTTGTACAAACCAATTTATTTCGATGAGACCTTTCATTAGAATACCATGAAGGGTAGAACATGTGTCCCCCCCTCCCCCATTTTCTAAAGTTTAACTTGGCACCACCACCACTAAAGGCAAGCGTATGCACATTATGAGACCAATTGGTTGTCGTATGTAAAAGTGATGCACGTTTTACTTTCAAAAACAGCATTTCAGGAAATAATTCGTGGGGGGGGGGGCCTTTTAGACAGCGAAATTTGATTGCCGTCTGGCACACCTTGAAGGTATAGGCTACCTACTGCAAAAAATTTCAGGACTCTAGGACCATTCCCTTAGAAGTAGTTCAAAACGGTAGAAGTGGGTCCGGACGGACAGACGGACGAACGGACGGACAGACGGACGAACGGACGGACAAATCGCAAACAATAGCACATTTTTTTCATTCTTAAAAAATGCGCTAAAAATGTGCTATTGTTTGCGTTTTCCGTCCGTTCGTCCCGTCCGTCCGGACCCACTTCTACCGTTTTGAACTACTTCTAAGGGAATGGTCCTAGAGTCCTGAAATTTTTTGCAGTAGGTAGCCTATACCTTCAAGGTGTGCCAGACGGCAATCAAATTTCGCTGTCTAAAAGGCCCCCCCCCCCACGAATTATTTCCTGAAATGCTGTTTTTGAAAGTAAAACGTGCATCACTTTTACATACGACAACCAATTGGTCTCATAATGTGCATACGCTTGCCTTTAGTGGTGGTGGTGCCAAGTTAAACTTTAGAAAATTGGGGGGGGGGGGACATGTTCTACCCTTCATGGTATTCTAATGAAAGGTCTCATCGAAATAAATTGGTTTGTACAAACTATAACTTTCCCGTGCGATCCTTTTTCGAGATCAGTGAGTGACGGGGCCTGAGGGGGAGGGGGGGTTAAAAATTAATTTTATCTCTCATTGTATTCTAATTAAAGGTTTCACGATAGGAGCAATTCTCTACAAACTACTGCCCTTCTTTTTGTCCTCTTATCAAAGTATGGGATGGAGGGGGAAGGGGGGAGTGGAACTAGTTTTATCCTTCATGGTACTCTAATGAAAGGTCTCAACGAAAGAAATTGATTTCTACCAACCATAGCCCTCCTCCTCGACCTCTTATCGGGATCGAGTATATTCCCTTATACATCAACAACGGATTATCGGAAGAGGGTACTCATAAAGGGCGATTGAGACGTCTGCAAGAAATATATCCATTGGTGACCTTGTTTTAACCTCTTGCAAGCGGCTCCACAAACCTTTATTTGTGACGTAGGCTCTAATTGCATGCCCTCCACAGGTTTGTTTAATTCACTTATCTCTTCTGAGGCCACCGAGGCGTTACTCGAAGCTTTGGGGTTTTCAAGTGTGCCTTTAGAGAAATGGATGATGACACTGTCTAGGCTGGTGTCTTCGTAAAAGGCTAAATCAGCGGTGGTTAGAGGTAGCGACTCCTCTGTTTCCACCTTGATTTGGATATGGTTCACCTTACTGTCATTCAACGACCTCAGAGCACTGAGGTTGTTACCAGGGAGCACCACTGGGAGGTTGACAGCCGGCTGGCCAGGTTTTGTTAAACGCTGAGGAGAGTTTGTATTTTGGAACGTGGTGGTCAGAACCAGTGATGCCGGACCGTTCTCCCTGGTTTACTGGGAGCACCAAACCTGCTTCTTCCAGATCCTACGCCGATTTCCCCCGACCATTGCCCCCCGTCACTCGCAACTATAAGCAAAAAGGTAGCTAGGAACCTGTGGAAGCTCAAATAGGAAACCGGAAACTGAAAGCTAGGGGGGGGGGGGACTATTTTAGTATTACTTGGCGTGTTGCCACGATTTGCCTAATTAACTTTGGAATAATTTCATTATTTCCAGGAGGACTTCGGCACGCGCCAGGAGATCGACTCGAAAAACAACGGCTGGCAGAAGCTGAACCTGACCGACACCGTCCGAAGCTGGCTCGCCGAGGGCGAGACGGACAGGCTGCGGATCCTGATCGACTGCAGCTGCAGCTGTCCGAGCGTCCACCTGCACCTATCGGACGCGGGCGCGGAGAGGCGCGCGAATCCGAACCGGCCGTTCCTCGTGATATACACCGATCCAAATATATCAAAGCGCGTAAGGAGAAGAGCGTTAGACTGCTCGCCCGATTCGGGCAACCAATGCTGCAAGCAACGATTTTATGTGAGCTTTAAGGAGTTGGGTTGGGACGATTGGGTTATCGCGCCGCAGGGGTACTACGCTAACTACTGTCGGGGCGACTGCGGTAATCATCGCACGCCGGACACCTACGTTACTTATCATACGCATGTGATAGAAGAGATGAGAAAGGCGCAGCACCTCAGCGGAATGCAGCCGTGTTGTGCGCCCTTAAAGTTTTCCAGTATGAGTTTGATTTATTTCGGACCCGAAAGTAATATTATTAAAAGGGACCTGCCGAAAATGGTCGTGGACGAATGCGGATGCCCGTAGACTTGTATTTTTAAACTTAGATATGGTGTTATCAAATTTAAATGAAATGAACTCGTTTATATTTCATAGTTAAAATTGAGGTTAGGTAAATTTTTGGTAAGCAAAATTACGAAGGTGGCGAGTGTTGTGTTCAAGTTTCAAATAAGGTAGGTATGAAGATGGTGTTTTACAATAACGGTCGCGTCTCGGTCTCGATCTATCCGCCCAGATTGAAAAAGGACGCGGATAGACCGATACTGTCGGCGCTTGCGCTGGACTGTCGGGATCCTAACCTAAAATCAACTGACTATTAACGCTTAACCATACCATAGTTGTTAATTAGAATATTAATTGTTTAAACTGAGGCAATCAAAATTTTGAAAATTATTGACACTTTCGCTTTTCATTCCATTCCTTCTTTCATATCAAGGGTGTGTTCGGTCAAGCTTCTTTTCAAAATGTTGGTTACCTTAAGCGAATTTGTGATCATTACGAATTACCAGAATGATATTTTGTTTTATTTAAGTGTTGTTGTTGATTACTATACCTGTGATTGTTTTTGCAATATTTTTATATTTTATTTATTTATCAAGCGCGGGTTTCTCAACGCGACTATCGGATTGAGCACGTCGCGTCGAGACACCCTGTATAATCCACGTGCTTTTCGTATTGTTTCAAACAGACTGTAAGATAAGTGAAACATTACGCATGACAATAACGAATTATTAAAAAAAAAGAAGAAAAATTAAATGTACTTCAGTCTACGCAATAATTCATATATAGACGAACAAATAATTACTAGTCCATATTTATCTTATTCTTGTAGTTACACAGCTTTCAGAATTGAGCAAAGTTTTAAGTGAAACTTCTTTACAGGGTTTTCCGTTTTTAATATTGTTACGTAGAGTTTAAAGTGAGAGGAAGTGTTTGTAAAGAGTTTCATTTAATTAGCAATTACCCGCACTATTAAGAGAGAAAAAAAATATTTGAAAACGCTCTGTTGCAAAAAATATACCTACAAAGTGTATGCCTTAATTAAGAAGATACCTACCTATAACGCTAAAGAACTGATAATTAGTTGTAATTGTGGTATTTAAGTTTCTTTTTTTAGTCCGAAACGGTTGGCGGTAACTGATTGTTGCATTAAATCGGGCCACCCTGTACATAACTGCGGAATTTGAAGCGTTCCGCTATCAATGAAAAGCTTTAAAAATTAAATTAAAATTCCATTATTTTTCGGCGACTATTTCTACACTTCAAAGGGACTTATTTCTGGCTTAATTAGTAAATTTATTTTATGTTGCTGAATTAGCAAACAAATAACGCTTAAACATTTCTTTCAACTATTAGCCTGCTTCTTTATTCTAGATGCCTAATTCAATTCAAATTGTTGATCATTATAAAGTGAAACTATTTTTTTTCATTTCCGTATATTCGCATTGGAATTTTTATTTACCACGAATTGAATTAATTAACTCGCTTAATTAGAAAAAACCTCAATTAAAACTTTGCTAAAATCATTTTACCTACTCACCTACTCCCTTTTTGCTTTGTTTAAATAACAAAAACTGAGTAGAAATTAATTTATGTTACTTAAATTGGAGTTGATAAGCAATAATTACCGTTTAATTTCGTCTCATTTAGAAAGACATCAATTTATAAATTAATACCGGTTGATTCTAACTAGGGGTTGAATCGAATACATTTTCCCTACTTTATTTTTGCTTTGCTTAATTAGGATAAAATTTAATTAATTGTAATTTCTGCTACTTACTCAAATTATCGTTGAATCTTAAGAGGACAATTCGCTTTAAAAATGAAACGTAGAAACTGATACATTTTCTCTACTTTATTTTTTGCTTCGCTTAATTGGCAAAAAATTAATTATGATTAATTTCTTTTACTTATCCGCCGTCTGCTTCACTTCCACGTGCTTCATTTACGAGGACAAATAATTCCTAAATTAAATACTGTTGTTAGATCAAAAAATTTAACTAATTGAAGTTCAGTTTATGGCTTCTTGTAATCTATCTAAAAATATATTCACATAGAATTTCTCTATTTTATCTTTGGCTCTGCTTAATTGATAAAAATTAATTGAAATTCGACTAATTATTGTATAATTTTAATTACTTCAATAATCTCTCTAAAAATAAAACTTAAAATCAGATTTACTTTATTTTATGCAAAAAATTAATTCGCTGAATTAACAAAAATTCATTGTAACCAATTATTCCGATTTGCTCAAATTAACTCGGAATTTTAAGCAAAACAGCAATAATTGCAGTCTAATTTCACCGTTACTTGTCTAAGGAGACATTAATTCACACATTAATTGTGTGATCAAGCAAAATTTAATTTTATTTTTGGTTAAATAAATTCATTTTTGGTACCTTAGTGAATCTCATTTTCGAATTCCGTTGACAATTAAAAATGACTGCATTTGGGGTTGAGTCGTTTAATTTCTATGTCCACATCATAGAGACAAATTAATTCAAGTTGATTTAAATTAAATTAATTAATTTCCACTATCTACTCAAATGAATATGGCTTATTAAACCAAGCAGCAGTAATTCCCGATTCTCCATTTGGATCCTTTGAGAAGACATTAATTCATCAATAAATTACGTTAGGTGATTGACAATTAACATTCCTTTTTGTTTATACTCAGTCGAAAATGAAGCGATTGTTATTATTTTTGGCTTAACTAGCATTTTTGGTGTAATTATCAGAAAATTAAACATTAATTAGCAATTTTATTTTGAAGTGTTGAATTAGCAAACAAATGGCGCTTAAACCTTTCTTTAAGCAAAAATTGCTTCAAACTGTTAATAATTATAAAATGTACTTATTTTGTACCAAATTATCCATTTAAGTGTTCACCATTTTTTTTCATTTGCCGATATTCGCATTAACATTTTGTATTTACCATCAATTGGATTAATTTATAATTTAATTAACATCACTTAATTAGGAAAAACTCAATTAAAAGTTTCATTGATTTAGATACAAGTTATCTATTTTCTTTTTGCTTTGAAATAATTGAAATTAATTTCTGTTACTTAAATTAACGGCGACGAGCACTAATTACCGTTTAAATTTTCCATTACTTGACATCTTAAAAACGAAATAGATAAATTAATTACCTTTCTTGGATCGAAAAATTCAACTAATCGAAAGCTATTTTTAACTCTTTCGATAATCGCTCTAAAAATAAGACGTAGAATGATTTACTTTGTTTTTGCTTTGCTTAATTAGCAAAAAATTAATTAAAGGTAGGTACCTTCTGTTACTTACTCAAATTAACGTTCAATCCTAAGCTAAGTATCTACCATTGCCGTCTGCTTTCACCTCTACTTGATTTATTCCAAAAAAGACATTAATTCATAAATAAATTACGTATGTTGGATAAAAAAATTCAACTAATTGAAGTGTATGATCGCTCTAAACACAAAACGTAGAATCAGATACATTTTTTTACCTTATTTTTTTTTGTTTTCCTACTTAGCAAAAGATTAATTAAAGGTAGCCTCTACTGCTTACTTAAATTAATGTTCAATTTTTAGCTAATCAGTAATAATTATCGTTTTATTTCACCTCCACTTGCCTTAATTAAAAAAAAAGTTGATTCATAAATTAATTACGTTAGTTGGATTAAAAAATTGCACAAATTGTTTTTTTTCGTTTTCTGTTTTGATTCCGCTCCAAAAATAAGACGTAGAGTCAGATACATTGCCTTACTTAATTTTTAGCAAAAAATTAAGCAAAGCAGCAATAATTACTGCCTAATTTCACCGTTACTTGCTTAAGAAGACGATAATTCACAAATTAATTGTGTTTGGCAGATTGAAAAATATCACTAATTGATCAAGCAAAACATTTGATTTTATTTTTGCTTAATAAGCTCCTTTTTGATACCTTAGTGAATATCCTTTTAAAATTCTGCCAGAAATTAAAAATTACTGCCTTTACTCAAGTATGTCAAAATTGTATCTGCTAATTAACAAAAAGGATTGCTTTCATTATTTTTTAAATGATCTTGAGTTTGAATCACATACACCCTTTCTTTAATTTCTGTGCCCACATTCTACAGACAAATTCATTTTAATACAGTCAAACAAATTAATTGAAATTAATTTCTGCTACCTACTCAAATTGACATGGATTATTAACTAAGCAGCAATAATGGTCGTTCCTCCACATGGATCATTTGAGAAGACATTAATTTTCAGCAATGAATTAATTGACAATTAATATTCACTTTGTTAGCTTTAAACTCCCAGTTAAAGATTAAGCGATTGGCTTAATTAGCTTTAATTATCAAAAGTGTAATTATTAATTAGTACAGTTATCTTATTATGCTGAATTAGCAAACTCAATTAAAGGTCTCATTGTCTATTTTTTAAATTTAACCTTCAACACAAATCTCAGGTCTAATCATGGTCGCCTTTTTACGTTATCATTGCTAATTTATAATTTTTGTTGATCGGTTAGAAAAAAAACCTCAGCAATATGTCTTTGCTGAACTAGCGAAAAAGATTCATTAAAATTATTTTTCCTCACGCACTGAAATAAACTTTGAATATTATGCTAATCAGCAATGATTGCCGTCTGCTTTCACTTTTACTTTCTTTTTAAGGTTGATTAATTAATTACCTTTGTCAGAGCGAAAAACTCAATTGAATCAGATACGTTCCTCTGTTTTATTCTCTGCTTTGCTTAATTGACAAAAAATTAATTGAAAATTATTTCTGTTACTCAGATTAGCGTTGATAATCGATAATTACTGTTTAATTTCACCTTTACTTGCCTCATTTAAAAATAGATCAATTTGTAATTAATTACGTTTGCTGGTTCGAAAAATGTATATAGGAGTTGAATCAGATACATTTTAGCTACTTATTGTTTTCCTTTGCTTAATTAGGATAATAATTAATAGTAATTTATGCTACTTACTCAAATTATCGTTGAATCTGAAGAGGACAATTATTCCTAAATTAGCAAAATTTTGTTTGCTAGATCGAAAAATGTAACTAATTGAAGCTCATTTTAATGCTTCCTGTGATCGCTCTAAACATAAAACGTAGAGCCTGATACATTTTCTCTATTTAATTTTTTGCTTTGTTAAATTAGCAAAAATTAATTGAAATTAATTTCTCCTACTTGCTTATTAAAACAAAGAAGAAATAATTGCTGCATAATTTCACCGTTACTTACCTAGGAAGACAATGATTAAAAAATATAACTAATTAATTAACGTCTATGCTTTCGTCAAGCAAAACATGTGATCTTACTTTTGCTTAATTAAGCTCATTGTTGATTACTTAGAGAATTTCCTCTCAACATTCTTTCGAGAATGTCGTTTATACCTTTACTTACAAAAGTCGAAACTACGTTATTAATTTTATGAACTAATTGAGTTCTGCTAGTTACCGAAAAAAAATTTGCTTTGGCTATTTTTTAAATAACTTTGAGTTGAAATTTCTGTCTCCATCTCTTATAGACAAATTAATTTTAATTCAATTTTGACTAATTTATTACCTTTCCTCAATCAGAAAAAATTAATTAAAGTTAATTCCTGCTGCCTACTCCAATTAACATGGATTGTATTAAACAAAGCAGCAATAATTGCCGCTTCTCCATTTGGATCATTTGAGGAGACACTAATTCATCAGTAAATTACGTTAATTGATTAACAATTAATATTTATTTCTATTAGCTTTAAACTCATAGTTAAAAATGAAGCAATTGCTAGTATTGTTTGCTTAATTAGCATTTCTCGCTTAATTAGCATTCCTCGCTTAATTATAATAAATTATAAATTTACTTTATAATGGTAAATTACCACCACACAAATAACGCGTAAACATTTCTTTAAGAAATTAACGATGGCACAATAATTGCTTCTTTATACCAAGTGCCTAGTTTAATTCAAATTGTTGATAATTTTAAAGTGAACTTATTTTTTAGCAAACTATCCATTTAAGGATTCGCAATTTTTTTCATTTGCGAATATTCGCATTGACATTTTGTATTTATCGTGAATTCAATTAATTTATAATCTAATTAACTCGTTTAACACTCAATTAAAAATTTCCTTGACTTAGATACATTTTATCTATTTGCTTTTTGCTTTGCTTAATTGACAAAAAATAATTGAAATTAATATCTGTTACCCAAACTGACGTTGATACGCACTAATTACCGTATGACACCGCCTTTACTTGCCTTATTTCAAAATGACGTTAATTCATAAATTAATTACGTTTTTTGGATCGAAAAATTCAACTAATTGCAGTTTCATTATAATTATAATCCCTTTAAAAATAAGACGTAAAATTATTTTACTTAATT